AAAAAAAAAAAAAAAAAAAAAAAAACCACACACACAAAAACAAAAATCTTCTCATTATTTTTGATTGAAAATAATTTGATTATTGGTATTGTTTGGCTCTGTTTCCCCACCCAAGTCTTAACTCAAATTGTAATCGCCATAATCCCCAGTGTGGGGTGGTGGGACCTGGTGGGACGTGACTAGACCCTGCTGTTGGTTTCCCCCATGCTGTTCTCATGATAGTGAATTCTCACGAGATCTCATGTTTTTATAAATGGCAGTTGCCCCTGCACACGCTCACTCGCTCTCTTTTTCTCTCTCTCTCTCTCTGGCTCTCTCACTCTCTTTCTCTCTCTCTCTCTCGCCTGCCACATGTAAGGCTTGCTTGATGCCTCTTCACCTTACCAGTGATTGTGAGGTTCCTGAGGCCTCATAGCCATGCTTCCTGTTAAGCCTGCAGAACATTAGTCAATTAAACCTTTTTTAAAAAATACTCAGTCTCAACTAGTAGTCTTTACAGTAGTGTGAAAATGGACTAATATAATTCTAATATCCTTGCTCTTGTTTTCTTTATAATTATTCTTCCTGGATGTCTTTAAATACCAAATTGTGTTATAGTCTCACCAAATTTTAAAAAATGGGCTATTTTCTTTTTTCTTTTTTTTTTGAGACGGATTATTTTCTTAACTTTATCCCTTCCCTTTCAACTTCTTTCTGCCTTTAAACACACAAGGTGATAGGTTGCTTGATATTTCTGCACAGCACGCTGTTCATGGTTTATCTAATCTTTCTCTCCCTTTGTGTTATTTCTTCATGTGTTTGTATTAATATACAGATTTATTGATCTTTTCTTCAATACCATCACATGCCATTAATTCAGTTCAGAATATTTTTTATTCACATTCTTATTTTGTTTTATTGCTGGAAGGTCCATTTGTTTCTTTGCATGTGTCCTCCTCGTCAAAAAGTTTTTCTCTTCAGCCTTGCACATATTTCTGACTTGTATAATCCACCCCTTACACCCCTCTTTCCAAACCTAGTGTCTTTGTCATCATTGGGCCTGCTTTGACTGAATGACTTTGCTCCTGGTTATGAGCCCTATTTTCCTTCTTTGTATGCTTGCAAATATTTCACTCGATTCAGTATATTATAGAGCTGAAATGGCTGAGTGACAATTTTTCTTGTTTTCCTATGAAGACTGTTAGACCTTATTCACAGTCACGTGTACATTTGCGATTCTGTAGATTTGTCTGGACCTTTCGGGAACGGCTTCACACGTTTGTTGGAGCTGTTGCAGAACACTTTTATCCAGAGCGAAATAGCACCACGACTCGCTGATGGCTTTCTCGGGTCTCTGAGGGTCTCTCGACTTTGCTGTGGGGATGCAACGTGTTCAAGCCTTGACTGTCCTCATGAAATCGCCATCACTTCCTTATGGCGTTTTTGCTTTTCTCTAGCCTGGTGACGTCTTACCCCCAGTGCGCTCAGATCACAACCTAGCCCTAGAGTGAAGGTGTCCCTGCCCTTTTCCAAGAGTCAAGACCCCTGCCTCCTTCCAGTGACCCCCTCTCTGTTATTCTCGGCTGTAAATTGGGGTGTGACACAGTTTGGATGTTTGCCTTTCCGAACATCATGTTGACATGTAATCCCTAATGTCGGAGGTGGGGCCTGGCAGGATGTGTTTGGCCAGGGGAGTGGCTCATTTGTGAATGGCTTGGTGCTGTCCTGGAGATCATCCGCAGGCTCCTGCTTTGACTCACGGAGTTCTGCCTGTTGAACATGGTGTGGCACCTTCCCCGCTCTTGTTCCTTCTCTCACCCTGTGATACGCCTGTTCCCCCTTCACCTTCCACCATGACTGGAAGCTTTCTGAGGCCTCACTGTACCAGATGCCGGCACCATTTTACTCATAACGTCTGCAGAACAGTAAACCAAAATAAACTACTTTTTCTTATGAATTACCCGGCGTTAGGTATTTCTTTACAGTAGTAAAAAATAAACCAACACAGAAAACTGGTACCGTGGAGGGGACTTTGCTAGGAAGATACATAAAAAATGGGGAAATGGCCTTGTAACTGGGTAACTGGCAGAGGTTGGAAGAATCTGCAGGGCTCAGCAAAAGACAGGCAGAGGAGGCTGGGCGTGGTGCCTCAGGCCTGTAATCACAGCACTTAGGGAAACGGAAGAGGGTGGATCATCTGAGATGAGGAGTTCAAGACAAGCTTCACCAACATGATGAAACACCATAACTAAAAATACAAAAATTATCCGGGTGCGTTGGCTCACCCCCGTAGTCCCAGGTACTCGGGAGACTGAGGCATGAGAACCGCTTGAACCGGAAGGTGGAAGTTGCAGTGAGCTGAGATCATGCCACTGCACTCCAACCTGGGCAACAGAGTGAGATGTGGCCTCAACAATTTAAAAAAAAAAAAAAAGGACAGGCAGCTGAGGGAGAGTTTGCAAGTCTAGAAACATGTTAAATGTATGTGACCAAATGCTGATAAAGGGATGGACAACAAAGTCCAGGATGACGAGGCATCAGGCGCTGTCTGTCTTCCTGGGGTTTGCTCCGCTCTGCTTGTGTCCCACGCTGTATTGTCCTCATTTAACGGTGCTCTCAAACAGGGCTTGTTTTTAACAGCATTTACTTGGATCCTATTATGTTTGTGTGTAAGGAAACTCTTGTACAACTCCATTTTACCATCCAATTTATGAAATAGTTTACGAATGACCAGCACATAAATGAATAAGACAAACTCCGCACTAGTAAGAATCTCATAGCTAAACGGAGAATTGAAAACTCATGCACCCTGTAGGAAGTATAATTGCATAAGAAACATAAACCAAACCTAAAATGCAATAAAATAAATAAATGGAAAAAAAAAAATAGAAACATAAACCAGAAGAAGGGAGCGCTTGTGGAGAACAGAGGACTGGGCATCTCCTCCCTTGGCAGGTCTCCCATGATTCCATGAGGGAAGTGGTCTTTGAGTTGGGCTTGCTATTTTTAGGGATGGTGAGGGCATTCAAGGGGAGGATGCAGGAGGAGCAAAATGAAAAATGCCAGAAATAATTGGGGAAGGTCAGGGGACACAATGGGACAGATGGCTGTGACCCTGGAAAGCACTCCAAGCACCACCGTGGTGTCCCTGATCACTGCACTGGTCTGCAGAGCAGAGAAGGACATTCCCAGGATGTCAGAGAGTGGCCTGCCCAAACCAACACCACAAACTTGCCACAATCACTAGCATCCAGATTCTGTGTCTTTGAACACTCGTTTAATTTGGTTTACATGTCACACGTCTCTGCTGAGGGAGCCCTTTCTGAATCCACATCAGCCACAGAAGCTTCTCGGCCTCCTCAATTCTTCTTGCAGCACTTTGTTCCAGGGAGACCACAGGTGCCAAGCTGTTTAAAGCCATTGGGGCAATATATGGGAAGGCATACACCACCGCTCTTTACGCAGCTGACAGGATTATTTATATGACCAAAAACACCTAACAGGAAAAAACACGGAAAAAGCAAACACCACGTTAGAATTCAAAACCCATGTTGCAAAACCACAAACTCCGTGTCAGCATGGCCCTGAGTAAATCAGCAGTGGGCGTCTTTCCCAAGCCTGGGCTGTTCCATCGTGATAATGAGACGTGAGCCAGTCACTGGGATCTCAGTTTCTGACATGGAGGCTGGCACTGCTGTGCTGTGGGGGATGCTTATTTTTGCAGGACCTGAATGTGAAAGACCCTGATCTCTCCTGAGTGACGGGGGCATCCAGGTGGGGTCAGGTAGGACCTCATCGAGGATCTCTTGTGATTTCAAGCTCCACCACGAGAAGATAACCTCAAAGCCACCCTACCTCCATTTTAACATACAGGCCAGTAAATTTTGCTTTCCAAATCATTCGTCTGTTAAGTATTAGAACTGAGATGGAATAAAAACGTGTATCTCGCTGGGCTGCATTGTCGAATATGAATCTCACATGGAGTAACTTACAGTTGAAAACCACAATGAACTGTAGTAACAGCTTTTGTTATGGCTTGTTTCTTCTATCTAAGTCCTGGTTCCAATGTCACCCTTCTTTTTCCCTCTCTCTCTCTCTCCCTCCCTCCCTCCCTCCCTCCCTTCCTTCCGTTGTTCCTGGTACTGTGTTACGTGTTGGAAAATATCGAGGTCCCTGGTGCTTCTAAGAGCTCCATTGTTCTCTTGTAACCCAGCATCCGTGAACAAAACTGATAAAAGGAAACTTTGACAACATAATATCTACCGCATCCGTTACTTTAGGTTTCAGTCTCAAAGTTTCTTTCTCCTTCTCTCCATCCTTCCCTTCCACTCTCCCTCTTTTATCCTTTCATGCTTTCTATTTTATTTCCATAATATCAAGGAGAAAACGAAGGTTCGGCATCCAGATTTAAAAGTTGCTTTCAATGGGCTGTCCCTGTCCTGTGAACCTGCAGTGGCCTGGCGGCAGGGAAGCGTTCTCAGGGCCTCGGATCAGAAAAGACCCAGGGGCAGACTGTCTGCAGCAGTAGCTCCGAGAGGGTACGTGGGGCCTTAAGATTCTCTGGAGTTCTCCAGGTTGCAGTATCTACCCTTCAAATGTAAACCCTTAGAAAGTGACATTCTGTCCTTCTTTCTTTAGGTAAAATAACATTTCTGACTTTTATTTTTAAAACGTCACCTAATGGGTTTCAACCATAGTCTTAGCAGTCATAGCGTGGAAAGCAGTGAGGAGATGAGTTTAAAACGCTACTGGGCCCTTCATATCAGCCTAAAAGAGAGGCTGAGGTGTCCGCTGGGTTCTCCAGCTCCTTCTATATGGAACCAATGCCTGGTTCTGTTAAGTCAGGCATGTGGTCTACTCAGTCTAAAGGTGTGTGTAGAAGAAAGAGAAAGACAAGCTCTGGGGGAGAGATGGAGAGGGAGGGGAAAAACAGAGAAAGAGGCTGGAGAGTGGGGAGAGAGAGAGGCAGGAGAGAGAGAGAGGTGGGGGGGCAGGACACAGATAGGAAGAGAGAGAGAGAGGCGGGAGACAGAGATAGGAGAGAGAGAGAAAGTTGGAGAGAGAGGGGCAGGAGAGAGAGAAAGACAGACAGGTAGAAATAGAGGGAAAGACAGGAGAGAGAGATAGAGGCAGAGAGAGATAAGAGAGGGAGACAGGAGGGGGCAGGAGAGAGAGGGGGAGAGAGGCAGGACAGAGAGGTAGGAGAGAGAATAGAGCGAGGGACAGGAGAGAGAAGAGGGACAGAGAGGCAAGAGAGAGAGAAGGAGTGACAGCGAGGGGCAGGAGAGAGAGAGAGATGGAGAGAGAGAGACAGAGGCAGGACAGACAGGAGAGAGACAGGAGAGAGAGAGACAAGAGAGATAGAGAAGGGAGGGAGAGAGAGACAGAGGGTTAGGGGAAATTAGAGGAGGCAGACACAGAGACAGCCTCTACCCCATTCTCCCATTTGTCCAACCTCCTGTTTCCCTGGCCCACCTCACCTGGAAGAGGCATCAGGAATACGAAGAGGAACGAGAGGAGGAGGTACAGGACCCTCATGGCTGATGGCTGGGAGCTTCACCAGGAGCTGAGTCTGGGAAGGGCACTGAGCCTTCCACCTTATAAAGGCCCTGGCCTCTGGTCACCGGGTAGAATTCAGACCCAGTATTGGCTGCAATGCACATTGCAAAGAGTAGAATTCAGCCACCTAGCTGGTGAGTCAGAGAATGGCCCTAATAGAATAGTGCACACTCAGGAGATTGTATGCAAATTTGGACTCGGGAAACCCCAGACAATCCCCTCCTCCTGCTCTTGGGACCAGAAAAGCCCCCCTGTCTTGCATCATTTAAAACCTAGTGTATGGTTGGAGTGATGGGCTGGGCCTGTCTCACAGGGGAACAAACAAACTCAGGGCCTGTAGCACAGAGCTCACCTGTCATGTGCTCTGTGGGACGTCCTGTTTTGCCTGAATATCTGGGGACGGTCTCAAGCCACATGGGAGCTGGTTCCATCTAATTGCATCCATTGCTGGAACATTCAGCTCCTGGGGATGCAGCAGGACTGGCTGAAACCCGGGGACCCTGGAGGGGTCACAGCTCTGGCAGCACCAGCAGTGTGGTGGGCCCAGTCCTCCCAGGAGGTCCCAGCTGGTGAGATTCATGTGAGAAGTTGCCTGAAATTCCCCATCATCCCCACGGGACAGAGATGAGGCAGACGGGTGCCCATTTCCTTCCTCTGGGAAGGAGAATGGAAGGGTGGGATTGTGACCACATGTGTCCCCTCAGATCCCACCCAGGCCCGGGCCAGGAGGTGGCCTACGGCCCACACTTGAGTCCTTCAGTTCACAGTGACTCAGAGAGCGTCAGCTCCACAGGGCTTCCTGTGCCTTCCACAGACGCAGCACTAAGGGAGCTCACTGCTGTCGGGGTTTGGTGGAGAAGCACAGAGTGGGGCTGCGAGGCTTCCACATGGTCTCCTTGTGGGTCTCTCAGGACCCTGTCCTTCCTCCGTAACCCAGAGAAATCATCGGTGGTCATGAACAATGAATAGAGCCCTATGCCAGGGGCTCAGGGATGGGGCTTTTCTCGGGAGAATAACTGGCCTTCTTTCTGCTTCCTCCCTCTTTGGATCTAAGGGACATTTGAAGGACGAGCAGTCCCCAGTGTCCATGTCTATGCTGTCTCAGGGTGTAGCAGTGACACAGCCATGGGGTCAGTGAGTCTTTGCTCATGGCCTGCCTCACCTCTTCTTTTAAAATGTCACATTCTGAAGATTTCTGGTTCCTGGGAGGCCAGAGGCGGATTTAAAAGAAGCTGGTGAGGACATTGCATGGTCAGGATCCTCAATGGCTTTTTCTGTGAGAGGGTGTTTCCAATGGGATATGCAGAGAGAGGGCTGGGTCAGGTGCTGTCAGAACTGCTGAGGGAATTTGCATCCAGGGCTGCAGCTGCATCAGGACTTTGCTTCCCTGTGTGTCCAGCAGGCTGGAATTGAGGGGCAGACTCATTCATTCCTGACACTGGAACTGTTTCTTCCTGATGATGAAAGCATACAGAGAAACAAAATGTGAAGTAAAGGCTTTATGTGCTTTGTCTAAGTTAATGACGTTTTTAAAATACATATATATATATATATTTCTGTTGCCTTTAGAAAGAGGGAAACATCATGATGCTTCACCTTAATTATCTCAGCATAGATCTCTTACAAATGAGGGAAAATGCCTGCCTCCATCCCAGTGCCATTTGCACCCATTAACAAGAGCAGCTCCCTGGCCTGAACACTGGGATGGGAGCCACAGGTGCTCAGGAAGCAAACCCTCTGTAAATTATTGCAGAGCAAAAGCATGCCCATGGACATTGCACTTGCTCCAAGAAAAGCTTCCTGGCTGTTGATTTTTCTGGGTACGTGTTCAGTCTAGAGTCACACATTGAATTAGGTTGTCACGTCTCTTTCTTTGTTGAGTAACTATCCTTAAGGAAATGCCGTGGTACTTGGCAAGGGGCTTTATTGGGGCTTAGAGTTTGAGTTAAGAGACTGATTCCCAACTTTTTCATGTGCGGCGTCACTCCTGATTGATATGTTCTTAATGACTCCCATGCTTAACATTGTTATTATGAAAGTAATACACTCGCATTTAAAAACTCACCCATAGCAGGGTGTGAATTTCTCCCACACTCCTGTTCGAATCCCAGGAACCCCGATAGCATTGTGGTTTTACACTTTTTGTCCTCTCTAGATCTCACTCCATTTGTGAGGCCTTGTTAGGGGAGGTGAAATTGCTCTGAAATAGGAAAGTCTCTGAGAAGTGCAGCGCTTCTGTGTCCCTGGGGAAGAAGCCACCAAGGCTGAGGTAGCATGGGCCTGTTGCTCAAGGACAGCTGGGCTGACTCTTCCCATGAAAAGTCCTCTGGCTGCAGCTGCTGCTTTTTTCCTGGCACCCTGGCACAGCCCAACGGGACTCCTTCACAGCCATGTGCATCCTGGTGATAAGGCTTGTCTGATAAGGACCATCGGAGTATCACCTTTGCTTTCAAAGGTAGTTATCAGCTTCAGCAAGGAAGACCATCCACCAGCACAGACATGGGGTTCTTCACCGAAACTAGAAATGTAGCTATTAAAGACTCTGAGGGCATGCCAGGCTTAGGTCAAATCTAATTTAATTCATTTTTATGAGCTCAAAGCAAAGCCATGTAAAAGGGGAGCCATCAAGCCTGACTGAGAGACACATGGCCTGTTTTTAATGGAGCATGAGCATCCATGCTGTGTCCCCAAACCTCTTTCCTATAACTGAGGAGGAACTTTCAGGCTGTCTCTTTGTGGCATCGTGGTTCAGTTGCCCAGGCGAGAGAGGGAAGCCTCGTTCCTACAGACAGGATCCCAGAAAGCAAAGTCTCTCATGTCTGTGATTTTAGAAAACAAAGTTTCTCAGCAGTAAGTCCTCAGTGTTAAGTAACAGAGGCAGTTTTATTCATTTCTCTTTCTGTGGAATGGCCAGCTTCATGGGCTCTTGAGGGCAGGGCAGTCCCACAGGGAACTGCTCTCCGAAGGCCCGGTCCTGGTGTAAGGACACCACCCTCTCGACATTCTGAGTAATTTTCTCTTTGAACTTGTTTTGTAAGCGGAGTCCTGTGAGTGGTGCATGCGCGTGGGCAGAGAGGACACACACGGACATGAGGTGGGCAGGCTCAGACCCCGGCACCACAGCCACATGATTGGTCATAGTTGGTCTCGCTGCCCTTAGCACTCACATCTCTGGAGCAGCCCAGACACCTGGGGCTGGGCATGGTGGCACATGCTGTAATCCCAGCTACTTGGGAGGCTGAGGCAAGAGAATCACTTGAACCCAGGAGGTAGAGGTTGTGGTGAGCCGAGATTGTGCCACTGCACTCCAGCCTGGGCAATAAGAGCGAAACTCCATTAAAAAAAAAAAAAGTCCTGGTCTCCACATGCCCCACTGTCTCACAGGACTCTACCTACGGTGGCAGTGCCAATCCTCAGCCCTGGGGTGAAAGGAGGGCCTCTGTGTGGGGGGGTAGCACTGACACTTTGTGCCTGTTCATCCCTGGAGTCACTCTTCTTGGAGCTTCTGCGAAATACGAACCTTCTGGCCTGAGCACTGGGACAGGAACTGCAGGTGCTCAGGCAGCAAACTCTCAGTAATTGATTGTGAGACAAAGTGTGCACACGGAAATTGCAACAAAGTCGGCCACGGAGTTGATTAGAGTTCTTCAGAGAGTTTAGAATTATGCAAGGAGTTATCATGGCCTCAAAAATGGAAATTACATGTATAAAGATAATTATATTCTGTATATTATATAGAGAAGAGTGCTACTTTTATATAAACTTTCAGATGAATCAAACCTTAACAAGGAGGACAATTTTTAAATGGTTTTTCTTATTATTAAAGATACAGAGTGGAATGCGTAAGCAGGTATTTTCAATAAACTACAGATTATGATGCCACTTTGGTTCTGATGCAGGCCCCTGCAAATTACAGGAAATATCAGAAGAAGCATCAAAATTCCACTGGATAAATTCACATGTAAAATTCAGTTCGAACTTACGTGAGAATGGTTTGCTTAAGAAGCTCTATCATTTATAAAAGCCGTTTAGAAAAAATCACCAGCTCCAGATATACTAAAGTTTCTTAGTATTTCAAAATAATTCAACCCCATATAGTCACAGCTTAGAAAATATTCCAGAAACCTTTGCTTCAGCAGATTCTTCTCAAAAGAAAAACTGAAGTTGCACCAGGTATAAAGTTTGATGGCCAAATTAGTTGACAGATGAGTGGACCTGAAAAAGTGTTTAATTCACGCACATGTCCCATTAATAAGATGTTAGGGTTCTGTTGTGATCATGACACTCATTCGGGGGGAGATTTGCATGATTCTATCATCACTCCTGTGTAACTATTATCTCTATTACATTTTTAAAACAATGAAACATATTGGCTTCAGAAAGCTGAATGTCCTCCGGCCTCTCATAACGCTTTGTTCTACTGCTTCTTGAACAAGGTACCCTTCGTTTCCATTTTGCACTGAGCCTTGGGAATTTTGTAGGCAGCCCCACCATGGCCATTTTCATGCAGATTATCTCACTGAATCCTCAAAGCAAACCTGCCAGGCCGGCATTACCCAAGATTACAGAGGCAGGTCCTGGGGCCTAGAAAGTTTAGAGGACATGTTGAAGGTCACCTGTCTCCTAAGTGGCAGAGATGCAATTTGAAATAAAATCCCCCTCTCTTCGAAGCCCATGGTCTTAACTACTCCCACACAATCACCATGGTGTCCTGATCACCTCCCTCTTCATCCTCCTACAGCCCCAGAGCTACCGTAATGCTCTGTCTGAGGCCAGAGTCCATGGAGCTACTGTGGACCTCTCCCAGCTCCTGAGCTGAGTGGTGAGTCCAGAGCCTGGCCTGGCCTTGTAGGGGTGAGGAATGAGCGTGCAGTTACTGCCACCTCATGGTGGCTCTTTTACATAACCCTAAAACGCAGATCTAATCTGTTTCCTGCCTGCCTGAAGCCTGGGTGTGCACCTGAGACTTCCTGTGATTTATTTTTCCCCTTAATGAACATAATGAGAGTTCTCACAATTTTATGGATCCTCTCAAGGAGTCAACTTTTACTTATTTATTTCTAATGTTTTCTTTTGTGTCCAGTTTCTTTTTATTCACTCCTTTTATTTACTTTGGGTTTAATTTGCTCCCTTTTCCCTTTC